TATATATATATTTAGATATATTCGTCGGATGAAAATATCCCACAATATCCGAATTTTTATCATTATCCGATACCTGTGACTTGTAAAGCTATTCATAAAATAGTAGAATAATATATGATATTGTGATTGATTTAAAGAATCGGAAAAAGTAAGTTTTTAAAAAAGAAAAATATGAAAAGATATTATCAGTACATGTCGATGAAAAAAATAGCAACTATTATGCATATCTTCTTTAGCTCTCAAATAATTTGCCAGATTCTTTTTAAATAAAAAAAAGCAACCGCTCAATCGGACATCTAGAAACGTTCGTATCGGGGGATATTTACATATCTCAGAATATGCATCGAATATCTACTCTATATATCAATTAATGTGTGTCGGTTAATGTTGAATAATGATGAACGGTTCTGTCGTAATCATAGCAGAATTCGTATCGCGAACGAAGGGGAGATTACGCGCTATGTGACATTATGTGTGAGAATTAGGAAACGATTTGTCGTCCTAGTTACCGCACGATAACACATACGTATGGAAGTAGATAGACACAAGTAGAGCATACGTTAGGGTTTGAATACTCGTTAACTACTACAGTCTGTCAAACTACTAGAAATTACTACTGATTCTCTGGTCGCCGACATTCCTTTACGAAACACACACGATGCGTTTATCCGCACGAATCGACCTGTATTCGCAGCGTACATTTCATCTTTTGCAGCCTCATCAAAAGATCATTCGATGTGACGATTCCTCATATATCGTAAAAATTATAGTTAATAGCTGTAGTCAGTATACAATTTAAAAATTTTAAATTTTAAATGTTCCACTTGTACATCTTATTTTTTTTCGTTGGCAGAAATATTAATAATTATATTAAAGATAAAAATATCTGAAATGTATATATAATTGTTAACAATCGGAAGTTCGGTTTGATGTTAAAATAGGATGTATAATACAGATTCATCCATGGAAATTAATTTGAATTGCGGGGAGATTACGCGCTATGTGACATTATGTGTGAGAATTAGGAAACGATTTGTCGTCCTAGTTACCGCACGATAACACATACGTATGGAAGTAGATAGACACAAGTAGAGCATACGTTAGGGTTTGAATACTCGTTAACTACTACAGTCTGTCAAACTACTAGAAATTACTACTGATTCTCTGGTCGCCGACATTCCTTTACGAAACACACACGATGCGTTTATCCGCACGAATCGACCTGTATTCGCAGCGTACATTTCATCTTTTGCAGCCTCATCAAAAGATCATTCGATGTGACGATTCCTCATATATCGTAAAAATTATAGTTAATAGCTGTAGTCAGTATACAATTTAAAAATTTTAAATTTTAAATGTTCCACTTGTACATCTTATTTTTTTTCGTTGGCAGAAATATTAATAATTATATTAAAGATAAAAATATCTGAAATGTATATATAATTGTTAACAATCGGAAGTTCGGTTTGATGTTAAAATAGGATGTATAATACAGATTCATCCATGGAAATTAATTTGAATTGCAAAGATTTAAACGTACATAAAGTAACCGTAAATGTAGCTGTTCGACTTTAGTTATGCACTGAATGCTGTCTCTGGGATGAACGTCTAAAATTGAGGGAATCAGACCGCATTTAATTTCAAGTGTGCGTGAAATACGACGATATTACGAATGTTATGCTGGATTACGTGACTATATATTACACATCGATGTCACGATGCAATGAAAATTCGGCACGTATTAGATTCGACGAATAGACGCGTCATATAGGATCAATTATTTAAACGAACAATTCAACGTAAGATGGTGAATGATTAATATAAATAAAGTCGTGGTAATGTTAAAATGTTTAGCTCAATTTTTTAGTCATTAGAGAAAGTGTCATTATCTATTCCCGGATTTTTAATGAATATATATAATAATCAGATAGTATACATGTGTGTGTAATTATCATGACTAGAAAAATGCAGCGAATGTAAGCATGATGGAAAATAGTAGTATTATGTAAAAAAATGGATCGTTCTATCGTGTTATTTGATACAGGACTGAGCGGAATATCGATGAAGCGTATTTATACACCGGCAATAAGATTTAATAAATTGATCAACATCTTACCGGTGGTATAATAATTTTGCGTATAGTCCACACAGCATTTACCGCCCAGGCTTACGAAGCCTGAATGACGAGCGTTTGATTGGTCAAACGGAAATGTAATTCTTCTAACTCGCTAAAGCACCGACGATAACGATTAACGTTAATCACGTGATCAACTCGATTCCATCCCCTTTCCATTTTATAGATAGCGACACGATCCAGGAAGGGGATCGTTAAACACGTTCGATTAATCAAGGTCGTGTAATCTCTTTCTTTCTCTTAAAATATCTTAGCATTATAATCTCTTTTCTATGTAACATTTTTATATACGAAGTGAATATTTAATGCGACTACATAATTCGCATCGGTCCGAGAAATAAACGGTTTTATTAAACAACAAATTCATTTCTTAAATCGCGATACCGCGAAACGGCTAGGAACCCTTTAGATGGGAAAGGGAGCTTGTGCTAAAGATAGTAGTTTTCGTTAATTGCCTCAAAACGAATCCATCGCCAGCAAGCCGACGCGTGGATGTTTGAGACTATGCTAAACTAGATAAATAGCGTAAACAGTTCTCCTAAATTTAAAGCTGTCGTCCAAGGTATTATAGGTAAGGTGGGTAGGTAGTACAATTCCCGCTTAATAATAACTTGACAAACACCATTCGTTAGAAGAAGTGCATACATCAATTGCTTGTTTGCTAGACATTTCACCACCAATCTCATGCGTTTCGTCGTATTGTGATTATATTTACAAGGGATGGGAGGGAAGGAGAAGGGGTTATCGCCAGGGGATCCCATCCGAGGGAAATGAGGCTGACGATTACGTATATTGCGTTGCGATCCGTTCTCTCTCTTCTCTACAGATCTTTTCGATTTATACATTCTATATCTACACGAC